TTGACCGTTTCACTCCGTTTTTTCGCCATTTTCCCCACTATATAGCGCCCTACTAGCATATTAGGCCGAGCACCAAATCATCGTGCCAAATGCCTTTAAGTTCAGGCTGCCCCTAGACCTCCTTGCCAGGAGTTTTCGAATGGCCAGTGTTGCACAGCTGGACCTGCGGGGGCTATAAAGTGGGTCCACATAATAAATCGCACAGTGTGTCTTAAAGGCGAATTTCACGATGATCGTAGGGGAGGAGCTTTTGACCTTTGTTGCCTCTCCTTATTGCTAACTATAATTTTCTTAGAAGAATGGTCATTGATAAATTTGGCGCAGTCGCTCAAGTAATTCCACCCGTAAGACACCCGTAAGACCAGTAATTCCACCCGTAACATGCCGTCAAACAAACACTGGAAAAATATCGCTACAAAAAAAGAGAACACTTCTATAGTGCCTACAAATCGCAAAATTGTTTCTCAGACCTCAACGCGCGGAGGAAGAGGTGGAGGAGAAACGGGACGTGGCGGAAGGCCAATTGCTGCGCCCTGAAAAATTCATGTTGTCGGCGATAGAAAGCAGGCCAAAGTTATAATACTACAAAGCTACTAGAAGAGGTTATAAGAAGTGCAGCTTCTTTTGAATAAATAACGAGGTCCGAAACAGACAGACCAGTGAACTAAAGTGATGCGAAGCAGAAATTACCTGTGCAGGAGGGATCTGTCCAGCTAGGGGAGGTTGTGGTGGTAGAACAACGGAGGGTGGCGTTGGAGGCTGCGAAGCTCCTGCGAAATGTCTGGCTGGCACTGGAGGCATTTGTCCTTGCGGAAAATGGATATTTGGTGGAAACTGTTGCATGGCGCCTAGTTGTGGAGCACTCGGATTTTGGGCATTCCGAAGGGATGCTTGGGCGACTGCTGTAGGAACACCTGGCTGCACTTGAGTAGGAATTATAGGGAACACTTGCTGAAACATGTCTATTGGTCGAACACCGCATCTGACTGAAGGGATAAACTTACTGTAGGGCCTGTTGGTTGCACTGTGAATGGTTGAACTGGAGTACCGGCCTGGCCAATATTCGGCTAAATCAACAGCTTTTTCAGCAACACATCAAAACGAGTGGTAAGCAGCCTACAACTGACAGGGCGGAAGACATTATGGAGAGAATTTGACGCTGGCGTCATCGGATTTGGTGGCAGCATGGAATCCCCAGCATTGTTCTGTAAAGACATTGTGAAGCATGACTGGCACTTCCAACAGCAACAACAGTTCCTTGAAAATTTTTGTGCATAAAACTCGTATCCAAACCATTGTTTCCCTTACATATTCTTCTTGAGGCTCTGCTCTTTATGCACTTACACTTCCAGTATTATGCCACATGGCGTTGTTCGGCGAGCCCCAAATCAATCGGGCACTATGCTAACTGGTTGGCTAAACGCCTCGACTTAAATGTCGAAAGCAGGCTAAAAGACATGTGGGTAGAATCGTCGGTGTCACAGAGACCACAGTCTCATTGTCAGTTGGGCGCTGCTAAGAATCCCTGAATAGCTTCCGCTTCTTACGTCTTGTGCACGGTAGCAATCCACCGCTATCCAGTATGTATGTCCCTATAACGGCGAAAAAAGCAGCCTTTTGAGCTACAGTTACCTTGTACTGCACTCGGCCTTCGCAAAAATTTATTGTTTTTAATTAACGATTTTATTTTTCAGTTTTTATTCATATTAGTTTTTAACGATAATTTACGAATTAAACTGCTTCTGGCAAATATACAATATGTGACATTGAAACTCGTAGATTGCACCCACCTGTGTGTTCACAGTGTTGGTAAAAATATCTTGCTGAGGTCTGGCCGCTGAAGTGTGCTGCAACTCAAAAATAATATTTTTAAATTGGCGTAATTATTGTAAGACTCGATACGTGAAACAAATTCGGATCGTGTTCTTGCTTAGAAGGTGGCATCGGAAGAGAACCACGCTTAGCGGCCGCTGATCAACCACACTTTTGTGGAAGACACTTCCCTTCTTTCAAAGTTAACAAAGCGTATACGTAAAATAACGAACTTGGGGGATTGTCGATGACGGCTGCTTTAATTGTTGTCGATTTCCTTCAGGTGATGTACGAGGCTAAAATCGTCCATGAAACTGAGTACTAGGAGTTATCCAAGACGACCAACGACAAGGCCGCGTTCATAATACGCGATCCAAGTAGGGTGAAGCATCGTTGAGGATTCTACGCAGGGGGGAGGGCGGGGGGAGGTCGTATATAGCTCGCTGGAAGGTGTTTGGAGGAAAGATTCGTTTCGTTTGGAGGATTAGTCAACAGAACTGGGACAAGGTGTATGCGGGAAAAGGGCTGAAAGCGGAGCAGTAGCGGTGGTCCAAAAAAAATATCGGGTGTATTCACATGCTCTTAACTACAAGGAGTGTGCCATCACGAAAGCTGTTTCATGGAAGAAAATATCTTCGAGCTGAATGGAGGTCGTGGCGCACTCCATGGTCGAGTTTATTAACCCCTCTGCCCATCAGACATTATCCACAGGTTGAAAACGCCTTCTGAAGGCATTCCTCGGGTTCTGGAAGGGGTTGCGCGTAATCTTCTTCCTAACGTTGTCCCGCTTGTGCAGGGTCCGTTCTTCGGATCGAAAGTCGCCACTTTGCTCGATCTAGTGCATCTTCTTTAGAGAGGTTGACCATTCTCAAGTCCGCATTTATGGTGTCCTGCCAGCGTTGTTTTGGTCTTCCTCTCGGCCGGTGACCGTCTACTTCAAATCGATATGCAATAGAAGCGACGGTATCACGCTCAGCTCGCAAAACGTGGCCATACCACTGGAGTCGTCTCTCTTGCATCTTCTCGGCGATTGGTGCGACACCCATCTGGCATCTAATCACATCATTACTGATTCTATCGAGGCGTGAAATGCCCATTGACAGTCGCAGCATTCGCATCTCCATGGCGTGGAGTTGGCGCTCGGCACTTTTGGTTGCTGGCCAGCATTCGGATCGTACAGTGCCACGGGTCGAACCATGGTCCGGTATATCTTTGACTTGAGGCGAAGAGGCATGCGCCTATCACATAGCACCCCAGTGACTTCTCTCCATCTCATCCATGCCGCGTTGACTCTCATTCGAACCTCATCATCAACACCACCTCCGCTTTGCAGGCGGGACCCTAGGTACCTGAAAGACATCGTTTTCGGTAAGTCTTCGCCTTTGACTTTGATCGTGCCTTCGCTAGGGTCAGTCTCTAATCCGTCTTTCTGGTGTTGAGGCGAAGGCCATACTGGCTTAGACGGTCATTCCATGCTTGCACCTGACGCTGCAATTCCTCTCTACTGACATCCGCTAGAAGAACATCGTCAGCATAGAGCAAATGTCCATGGAGCAGCGTGTTGCAGATCTCGTGTGAGTGTGTCCATGATGAGGATAAACAGCAATGGCGAGGGCCGAACCTTGGTGAACTCCAACCTTTATTGGAAAGCTCTTCGATAAACCCGCAGCACATCGTACTCGACTGGTGGTGTTCATATACAGCATTCGAATCCAGCTGATAAGTGCTTCAGGCACTCCATGCTCACGTAGCGCATACCAGATTAGTTGGTGGGGCACGCGATCGTAAGCTTTCTCGAGGTCCAAGAAAGCCATATGAAGTGGTTTCCGCTTTTCCCGATGCTTCTCCATGAGTGAGCGAGCGGCAAATATTGCATCCGTTGTTCCTCGTCCTTTCACAAAGCCGCACTGGTTGTTGCTCAAATCAATCATGTCGCGTAACCGCTGATCAAGGATTCGCTCGAAGATCTTCATGGTGTGCGAAAGCAAGCGAATGGGCGGTAATTGGAGCATTCGGCCGGGTCTCCTTGTTTTTGAAGATGGGCACAGTAATGCTCGTAGCCCATTCACTAGGTGCACGGCCTGAATCAACGGCTGCATTGAGAAATTGCGTGAGCCACGGAATACCTTCCTGTCGTAGCTCCTTCATTTTCCAGACCTCTGCCGGTATGTTATCTGGTCCTGGCGCTTTTTGGTTCTTCATGCTGTCGATCGCCTTGGTAACCTCCTCGACGGTGATAGGCTGTACGGGACCGGCGGTTAGCAGACCTTCCGGAATTGGAGGGTGTGCGAACTCCACGTTGGAAATTTCGTTAAAATGTTGCCACCAGCGATGCAGTATCTTTCGCCTACTGTGCAGCCGCTCTCCATTCAAGTCTTTCACGCACATATAGTGCTCAACGTCCTTCGCTGCTTGGGCCCGTCCTTTCGCCAACCTGTAGATGTTTTTCTCACCCTCCTTGGTGCCTAGCTGCTCGTATAGGCACCGGAAATGCTCTAATTTTACTTTTGCCTGTCGTCTAGTGATAGTATACTTCCTCCAGTTCTCGGCAGTACTATGCGTGAGCCAGGTTTTGTAAGCAGTCTTCTTTTCCATTACTTTCTGCTTCACTTCGGCCGTCCACAACCACGTTTGTTTGTCAATACGTCGACCAGGTTTCGTAATTCCTAGAGCCGATTTAGCAGCAGTTGTAACGGATCCGCTGAACGTTGCCCACAAGTCGTTGACCGGCCTGCCATCGACTGGAGGTAAGCTGCATGCACGGGCAATTGCTGCCTCCTTGCCCTGCAGTTTCCACCACTTGATTCGCTCTGGCCCCATAGACCGACCGGTGTCGCTTCTACGCTTGGTAATCTTCGTATCCACAACGAGCATCTTGTGCTGTGGTGCCAGGCAGTCCGACGGGATGACCTTCGCATCTTTGATGGCAGGAAGATCTCGCCTGCGTACCAACACGAAGTCTATTTGACTTTTCTGCCCACCGCTTGCGTATGTAACAAGGTGGCTTTCGCGCTTCTTGAAGAATGTGTTACAGATAGCAAGATCATTAGCCTCAGCAAATTCTAAGATACGTCGTCCGTCTTCATTGCGTGTCCCGTATCCGTTGTTGCCATGACAGCTATAACCACTCTGAGCGCTACCAACATGGCCATTTAGGTCGCCACAAAGCAGGATTACTTCGCTCTCGGGGACTGCTGCAATATGATTCTGTAGTTCAGCCCAAAATCGCTCCTTTTCCACGTCGTCACATCCGCTTTGTGGGGCGTAGGCTGAAAACATACAAAGACGGGTTGCTACGTCGATTACAGCAGATATGAGTCTATCTGAATGACGTCTTATTTCTGCGACATGGCTTCGCAGCTCGGTACTAACGATAATGGCCACGCCTTTGCTGTTGGTCTCGCCATAGTAGCTCAGCTTGTAACCTTCGCCAATGTCGCGGGACTTTTGTCCCTTCCACCGCGTCTCCTGATGCAAGCTATGTCCACTCTGCGCCGTTTCAACATTTCGGCCAGTTCGCTGCTGCGTCCTGTAAGTGTGCCAATGGCAATGCGCACATGGGCTATCTTCTTTAGCCAGTTCCGCCCTTGAAACCGGTAGCCCTCGTCCATTTTCCACGGTGGTCGGGCGAACCCACCGCGCGTCGCCTCCGGGGGACGCCCTAGCATTGTTCATTGAAGTAGTGCTTCGATCCATAGTTGCGACTCAATGTTACCAGCCGACCTGTCGCGAGGGTCTGACGCTGGTGTCGCTCAGCTCAGCACCATCCTATGGGCAGTCTCCAGCGGCACCTCGAAGAGCAAGGGACTCACCGCAGGAAATGACGTAGAAATACTCGTAAAGTAAATGAGCGCGCCACTTGTCACTACACCACCTCCTGCCAGAAATCCTTTAGAAATACTCATACGGCCAAAAAATTCTACTCTTTCAGCCTGCAGCAGCATTTCTCGCTGGTTAAGTGAGCTGTAACAGAATTTTAAGGCACGTTTAGAAGCACAAATCCTAAGTTGTCAGTATTTCCTGCCCCTCCTCCAAAAGTTATGTGTGAACAAAGTTATGGCCCCTGAAGGGCGGCAGCTTGTACTAAACTTGTGCGCAACAGGCACTTTCCTCGTAAACGAAAAAAAATTCTCAACGGCGAATTTTTCGAATAATGGGCTTTCCAAAATTTTGGTACCATTAGACAGGGAAATCTTCTTGTTTCCTGCATTTCAGGGTCCGGTCCTGTGATAAACGCTTAGCTGCTGGCAGAGTCATGCTCCATGAAGGCACCAGCATTAAATTGTTTATCTGCCATCAGATGAGCGACTCAGTGTTGGTGCCCTCATGGGGCATGAATCGGCCAGCAGTAAGAAAAGGAAAACATTGAAAAAAATATGGAAGATCTGCGAAAATGAACGACAAACAAACGACGCGAGGGTCATCAAAGCATAAATTGTGAAGAGCCCAAAGGAAATGAGATCTTTTGAAAAAAAAGGATGCAAAAGATTGAGAAAGCACCATAATAAGGCACAAAAAAGAAAGAAAATACGGGAAAATGGCCGGCACTTCAATATTAACCGTTCGTCAGCCATCCAAAGTCGCAGATAGGGCGCCCTTTGTGCCATGGTATTGGAGTGAGCTATTTCACGGTCCGAATTCATTTCCAAGCCAAGCACTCCGAAAGTACCCTTCGCTTGAACACCCATAACTTCTTTGAGAGTGGAGCTTTTGAAGGAGGAAGAACAGGGCTGTAAAGCACTAGGTTGGCACATTGATTGAGTTCATTTCACAACCTCCTTTCCTGAAGAACTACCCCCGTTGTGTCCCCTTGTGTCATTTTAGGGTCATTATCAAGTTTTTTTGAACGGCTATAATAATGTTCATACAACGCCGTTTGTAAAACAAGAAGCATTGCCGGAATCTAGAAGATTTCTTCTTATCTGCGAGATTTTCATTTTTTTGGCCCACTATTCAAAAGATTCCCCTTTGTGATGTCATTGTGACTCTTTTCGGACGACAAAAACCTACCCCCTTCAACGCAGTATCACTTCCAGTATGTCTGATCAGAGACTATATGTATAGAAGTGTTGACGCTGAAAATATATCGTTGGGAGGGTGGTGTAGTATGAACAACCTTGTACCGGTTTTCGCGGCAAAAAGTTGTAAAGGAGGGGAGCTGTAGCGCAATATACGGGCGCTGCAGCGCAATATATGTTCAGTGACGCCTCCTTTTTCCAGCGACTCCACCTCCAGACTCCGCCTTCAGGCCCGCCTTTCAGTAAAAAACGAGTTGCCGAAGAAAAAGCATGAAAATCGTAACATATACGGTCGTGGAGTTCTTTGGGGAATAGGCTACGCGCATGTGGGCGTACTGTTGGAGATGCAGTTCGTTGGTACGCCCAAACTGTGGGGTTCTAGGGCACCTGTGACGGCGAATGATTGCACGCCTTGCCTTTAAAGACTTTGATGATTGAGGCTTCCAGAACACATATTCTTGCCAAGGGTGTCAGGAAATAGTTCATACCCTCTGTAATGAGCCATGCGTACGGCTCCCACGCAGAGGTGTTGGGAAGGTGTATCATTCACATATGGCTTGCTCTGTGCAAGCAGATGCGCTCCTGCGTTAAGAAAGGTCCGAACGTGTACGTATTTTTATCATATATCTATCTATCTGAGTATCGCCTGGCTTCTCCCCACTTCGCGATACGGCCCCTCCCCTCCTTCCTGATTAAGTACGACCCCGCCTGCTGTGATTATCACAACGATGCGCGCCCTGCCTGTATACCCAAGAAATGGTCCTAGAATGGGTTAAAACTTGAATTTCTTGCGTTTCCAAGCAATTTTCATCGTTAGACCAAAAAATCCCCAATTCTTAATTTTATACATAAGGGACTTTTGTAAGAGATTTCGATGTCTTTAGAGAAGGAGATCTTTTTTCGAGCAATTTTGTTTTGTCCTAGGTCCTGCAATGCCCAGGTTGTGGCTCCAAAAAGTTGAAACCTGGCGTTCTCATTAAATTTCCATCTTTAGATTGAAGCCATAACCTCTTCATAGGCCACTTTGGTACCTGTTTAATGAAAGCCCCTAGAGATGATGAATGCAGCCTACAACTTCGCAAAATGTTGTATTTGAACAAACTACAACCTTCAAAAAATCACCATGGTGTAGTGGTGGATGAAATAGCGCACTCCAACGCTCAGCTTTGATGCAGCTGAAAAAACTGCATTCGAAACGTCGTTTCATGACCAAGCTTAGCTAATCAATTGCGCTGGGAAGAAGGGAGATTTCCATGGACACCCTCTTTTAGGGTTCTTATCGATGGCCCAATTTTCCTCAACGTAATGTTTGACCCTTGATCTAAGCGATCGGATCGCGAAGTATAAACGCCCTCCAGAATCGTACTGTTATGATAGCTGGTGCATTTGCAAAATTGTTTGCGGGCGCTGTCGTTGTCCTCAATTCTTCGTCACCTCGTACCGCAACTGTTGTTCGCTCGAGACCTTTAGCGAACTGAAACAAACGGTATTCGCTTGGTAACAACAGTGCCAATAATAACGCTCACTTCTGCCGCTTCCTCCAATATCGAATTATCTTCCGTCAGTTTGTTGAGGTTATGAACGTCCTCATCATAGTTGAATTGACTCACTGCTGATGAATCTGAAAATGAATCACTACCTTGGCGTTCGAAGATAGAGTTCAGAGAGAGTTTTAGGAAAAGCTTCGATGTGTGTCAATCACCCCAAAAATTACCTAGGCTGGCTGGCCTCGGAGGGACTGTGGTCACATCATGAGTCGGGACTGCAGCAACTACTCTCTTCTGAAATCTTCCTGAGGCACGGTACAGGCGAGGTTCTTCTGAAATTATTCGAGGGAATGAATTAATAATTTATTTTATTCATTCGAAAAATACTCGTGAATTATTCATTCTAATATTCATTATATTCAATCTAAAACATTTTGGAATGAATTTTATTTAAAATCAAGCGTAGAAAGCTTGCTGATGATACGGGCTACTTGGAATCACCCTGTTGTAGGCACGTCTCACTGAGGTTAGTTTTTTTTTGTTGTGTTATTCACGTTCAATAAAGGATATAATTCTTCTCCGGGTTTTTCACTGCTCGGGTCGTCCTTTCCTGCTGAATCGAAGGGGACTAGTCGGCTACAACCCACTGCCATTAGTTCTGCCATATACCTTGACTGGACACACCCACCAACAGGTTGCAACCGTTCTTGCGTTGGCACTGCTAGCACGACATATTCGTGTTGGCATTGCTGGCATACCGTATTGTGAA